CAAAAAGGGGAATTACGCAAAAATGAGGAGGTTAGTTAAACAGAAATTAAAAGGCACAGTGACTAGAGCCAAATCCCTGAAAGCTGCATGGAAACTTTTTAAAGACACCATAATAGAGGCCCAACTTAAATGTGTACCCCAAATTAAAAAACATAGCAAGAGACCTAAAAAAGTGTCACCGTGGCTTAACCACCATGTAAAAGAAGCAGTGAGGGACAAAAAGGTATCTTTTAAGAAGTGGAAGTCCAATCCTAGTGAGATAAATAGAAAGGAACATAAACACTGTCAAATCAAGTGTAAACATGTAATAAGAAAAGCAAAAAAAGATTTTGAGGAACAGCTAGCCAAAAACTCAAAAAGAAATAACAAAATGTTTTTTAAGTACATTAGAAGCAGGAAGCCTGCTAAAAAGCCTGTGGGTCCCCTAGATGATCGAGCTATAAAAGGAGCAATCAAGGACGATAAAGCCATTGCGGAGAAACTAAATGATTTCTTTGCTTCAGTCTTCACGGCTGAGGACGTTGGGGAGATTCCTGAATCTGCACCGTCCTTTGTGGGTGATGAATCTGAGGAACTGTCCCGGATTGAAGTGTCATTAGAGGAGGTTTTGGAACAAATAGAAAAACTTAATGTTAACAAATCTCCGGGACCGGATGGCATTCATCCAAGGGTTCTAAAAGAACTTAAATGGGAAATTGTTGAGCTATTATCTGTGGTTTGTACCCTATCCTTTAAATCGGCTTCCATACCTAATGACTGGAAGGTAGCCAACGTGACACCAATATTTAAAAAGGGCTCCAGAGGCGATCCTGGCAATTACAGACTGGTAAGTCTAACTTCAGTACCGGGCAAATTAGTCGAAACAATAGTAAAGAATAAAATTGTGAAGCATGTAGAAGAACATAATTTGTTGGACAAAAGTCAACATGGTTTCTGTAAAGGGAAATCCTGTTTTACTAATCTATTAGAGTTCTTTGAAGGGGTTAACAAACATGCGGACAAGGGGGATCCAGTAGATATAGTATACTTGGATTTTCAGAAAGCCTTTGACAAGGTCCCTCACCAAATGTAAATTTGTAAATTACATGGCCATGGGATAAGAGGGAAGGTCCTTTCTTGGATTGAGAACTGGTTAAAAGACAGGAAACAAAGGGTAGGAATAAATGGTAAATTTTCAGATTGGAGAGGGGTAACTAGTGGTGTACCCCAAGGGTCAGTCCTGGGACCAATCCTTTTCAACTTATTCATAAATGATTTGGAGAAAGGGGTAAGGAGTGAGGTAGTAAAGTTTGCAGATGATACCAAACTGTTTAGGATAGTCAAGACAGAAGCAGACTGTGAGGGACTCCAAGAAGATCTCACCAAACTGAGTGATTGGGCAACAAAATGGCAAATGAAATTTAATGTGGATAAGTGTAAAGTAATGCACATCGGGAAAAATAACCCCAACTATACATACAGTATCATGGGGGCTAATTTGGCTATGACAAATCAGGAAAGAGATCTTGGAGTTATCATGGACAGTTCTCTGAAAACTTCCACACAGAGTGCAGCGGCGGTCAAAAAGGCAAATAGGATGCTAGGAATTATTAAGAAAGGGATAGAACCGTTGGGCCTGATGGTCTAGCCAGATTTCTATCCATCTTACTTGCAGCCCACTCTATTAGCATAATTTAATATGGACAGTTAAATTGACAGTTTTTTTCTCCTTCCCCTTTTCATACTTTTTTCTCCTTTTATTTGACCCTGTGTGCCTCCTGCTCCATATTTCTCATCTGAAAAAGTGTGCCCATGAAAGCTCATGGTATCATCTGTGGTTTTTTTTAGTCTCTAATATTCTGCAGAACCATTCATTGTTTTTTTAATTTGTTTACCAGTCAGTAGGTTTATGGCATAGGGTGGTGTTTGTGCAACCATCATTTATATGTATAGGAAACTCCCAAGATGCAACCACCCAAGTTGTGACACCTCCCTCTGCTCCCCACACTTACAACCATTTTTGTAAGTGCGGAAGTGGTCAAACTTCCCCCCTCTCCCAATTTACATTGTAGGCCCACATTTATGACAGCGCATGATGCCTACCGTAAATGAGGCCTTGAGTTACGATGTCCCTGCCTTGCAATGCTTCTCCAGCAACCAATCATTTCTCAAATCGGGGGCCACCTGTGTGGTAGAGTGGATCTCTTGCATGGATTATTTCAGGCTGAAGATAATAGTGGGGTGGAAATTATTGAAAGTCGAGAGATTTTGTAAAGACTGGGCTTGTTAACTTACAAAAGAAAGGAGGAAAAGAAAAAATAAGAGTAGACCGCACATTACTGAGTGGTAGAAAGTAGATTGAAAATGTGTTCTCCCTGTCTACTAAGACACAGACAAGGGCACATTCAAAGAAACATGATACAACCGAAACAGATACAAAAGAACCCATTCTTCACTCAGTCTCCAATTAGACTGAGAAACTTGTAGGCACAGGAGGTAGTTGAGGCCACGAGCTAAACAAGAATCAGGAAGGGTTTCCATTTTTAAATGGACAGACTATCCAATCCCAACATTAACAGTTACAGGAATAAATGTGAGCACCCAAACACCAATGCATTTCATGACACAAGCCAGTCTCTGGCTGTTCGGAATCAGAGTCATGCTCTCCAGTCAGTCAGCCTCCTCTGGCAAGGAGTTCCACAGGTTGACTACATACTGTGTGAAGAAGAACTTTCTTTTATTAGTCTCAAGTTACAGTGGGGGAGGTCTAGGTTGTATATTAGGAAAAATCTATTTCCCTAGGAGGACCATGAAGCATTGGTATAGACTCCCTGAGGAGGTGGTGGAATCTCCATCTCTAGAGGTGTTTAAATCTCAGCTTAACAAAAGCCTGGTTGGGGTGATTTAGTTGGGATTGGTCCTGCTATGCGCAGGGGCTGGACTCGATGACCTCTTTAGGTCTCTTCTAGACCTAGGATTCTAGGATTCTATTAAACTGATGCCTGTGTACTCGTCTGTCTCTGTCAATCTGTTCTTTTCACTTCCCCACGTGGGTATTTAAGTTTTAAGAACAACTGACCAAGATCCTGTAGGTATTTGTCTCTATCTGTGGGACTGGAGCAAATATGGTTGCATCTTAGGACCTGGCTGTAAACAATGGATTGGCTCATGTGTGTTGGATGGAAGCCAGAGGCAGGTAGGTAAGCAGAACGATTCATGGGTTCCTGGTGTAAGGTGGTGGAAAAGTGGCCGTCATTTAATTGTATTGTAGAATCCAGGAAGTGGATCTCTCATGTTGAATGGTCCAGTCTAAGGTTGGTGGTGGAGTGGAAGTTATTGAAATGCCTTTAGGTCTCATCCAGGACACGTCATATTTTGTCTACAGCCAGGCCCTAGGATACAATTTATTCTGCTCCAATCCCTCAGACAGAGACAAACACCTACAAGATCTTTATCAGGCATTCTTAAAATTTAAATACCCACCTGGGGAATGGCTGTAAATAATTGATTAGCTGATGTGTGTTGGATGGAAACCAGAGGAATGTAGGTAAGTTAAACCGTTGGTAGGTTCCTGTTGGAAGATGGTGGAAAAGTGGCCATCATTTAACTGTACTCTAGTGTCGAGGAATTGGATCGCTTGTGTGGAGTGGTCCAGGCTAAGGCTGGTGGTGGAATGGAAGTTGTTGAAATGCTCTACTTAAATACATGCTTCTAGGTCAGGCATCCTTAATACTTAAATATCTACCTGGGGAATGAGAAAACAGATTGACAGAGGCAGTTGAGTACCCCAAAGTCACCTACATGAAGACAGGCCCAACACAGAAAGTAACAGAACACCAGAGGTTATCCCCCCTACAAAACGTATCTATATCAATTGGGTCCCTGCCTTGGACTCCAGGTGAAACGTGGTTTCATGGGATTGTGTTTTCTGTGTGATTCCCAATCCCACTGTTCATGGATCCCAAGTTTGGCTTAGATTCTGTCATGGCGAGCCCTGTGAGCAGGATTTCCCAGGGCAGTGGGCCAGGATGTCCAGGTGTCTGTTCTGAGACCACTCCGTTCAATTCGAACCTTGTTTGGTCTTTGAGAGGTTTGAGCTTTTCCATCCAAAGGGCCGTCACTTTGCAGCTGTGAATGTCAAATTTCATCTGCCGTCATGTTCCAGATTCACCTGCCTCGGTTAGCTCCTCTGAATTCTCCTGTGGACCTGAATTTGATCTAAATAATCTGGTGCCATCTCTAAAAGTTTCCAGTTCATTATTCACTTTGGCTACGTCTACACTGGCACCCCTTTCGGAAAAGGGATGCTAATGTAGCACTTTGGAATAGGCAAATCCGCAGGGGATTTAAATATCCCCCGCGGTATTTGCATTAACATGGCTGCCGCTTTTTTCCAGCTTGGGGAAAAGCCAGAGAAAAGCGCCAGTCTAGACGTGATTCTCTGGAAAATAAAGCCTTTTCTGGAGGATTTCTTATTCCTACTTCTTAAAACTTAAATACCCACCTGGGGAATGGCTGTAAATAATTAATTAGCTGATGTGTGTTGGATGGAAACCAGAGGAATGTAGGTAAGTTAAACCATTGGTAGGTTCCTGTTGGAAGTTGGTGGAAAAGTGGCCATCATTTAACTGTACTCTAGTGTTGAGGAATTGGATCGCTTTCAAGTAGGAATAAGAAATCCTCCGGAAAAGGCTTTATTTTCCAGAAAATAACGTCTAGACTGGCACTTTTCTCCGGCTTTTCCCCAAGCCGGAAAAAAGCGGCAGCCATGTTAATGCAAATACTGCGGGGGATATTTAAATCCCCCGCAGATTTGCCTATTCCAAAGTGCTACATTAGCATCCCTTTTCCGAAAGGGGTGCCAATGTAGACACAGCCCTTCTGTTTAGATTGGTAATAGTGATGAAATATTTACTGTCTATTTGTAAAAAAATTACATAATAACTTGCCTCCCACTGTGCTTCTGTCTCTTCACAGATGTTTCGTGCATTTCTGAGCCCCATTCTTTCCTCGTCCACCTGATGGCAGATTTCAACCTCACCACTTCTGACATGTCAACATTCATCCTAACTGGCATCCCTGGCCTAGAATATGCTCATATCTGGATTTCCCTCCCTTTTGCTACTTGCTACATCATGGGCCTGTTGGGAAATTTCTCCGTTCTGTTTGTTGTAGGCAAAGAGCAGACCCTCCATCAGCCGATGTACCTGCTGCTCTGCATGCTGGCACTCACAGATATCACCGTCTGTACATCTGTCATGCCAAAGGCCCTGGGTATATTTTGGTACAATTTGAAAGTCATCACAGTGAGTGGCTGCCTCACCCAAATTACCTTCCTTAGCACAGTTGCTGCCACACAATCAGCAGTCCTTGTAGCAATGGCCTTTGATCGCTACTTGGCGATATGTAACCCCCTGAGATATGCCACCATTCTCACAAATGCACGGATAGCTAAGCTAGGTCTGCTCAGTTTAATCAGAGGAATTGTCTATGCACTGCCTGTGCCCCTGATGCTGAGCCAGATGCCGTTCTGTGACAACCGCATCATCCTTCACACGTTCTGTGAGACTATGGCTGTAGCAAAGATCTCATGTGGGGACCTCACATTTTTCAGGCTCTATGGCTTGGCGATGGGGCTTGTACTTACTGGGCTAGACCTGACACTCATTGTCCTGTCCTACTGTCTGATCATCAGGGTCATTCTTAGCATCTCTTCCAAGAAAGCCCACAAGAAAGCCCTGAACACCTGCACGGCCCACCTCTGTGTAATGCTGATGTCTTATACTCCCTATATTTTCTCCAGCCTGACACTTCGGTTTGGTCAGGGCATCGCTCCATACATTCATATCATCTTGGCCAACATCAATGTCCTTGCCCCCCCCATGCTCAACCCCATCATTTATGGGGTCAAAACCCAAGAGCTCCGTGACAAAATGAGGAGAAACATCTGCAGAATGTGATTCCATTGGGCCTCTGGATTTAAATTATATCCAAAGAGGGGAACCATTACTGCCTCATTAGTCCAGATTACTCTGTCTCAGTTTGACTGAGCTCTGCATTGTGGTGGTTCACAGTATGAGGAAGTAGGAAGCCCTTCTACTGCGATCATCCCATTGTGACATTAATGGTCTGATATCTCACTTCTGCCATTGTCTTGTGGAATCGTGGACAGCTGGAGAAGGAGGGGAGTGTTTAGCCTGTGGTTCCCAACCCTCAGCCTGAGGGCAAATATGTTGCTCTGTTTAACGGTGAAATTCTTTCACACATGGATACCGTAGGGGTCTAAGGCTTTCATAAGCTTGGTCATTGGCTGTTGTGACCCTGGATGGCTGTAAACAGAGATACGCCAATAAGCTAACCTAGAGGCTGTGAGAACTGCCCTTGGCTGGCTCGTGTATTGATATGATCACACAGCTGTCTCGGGGAGTGGAATCGCCCACTGAGAAAAGAATGCCCAGTACTCCCAATTTATTTATCTCTCTTACAAGTGTAAATTAAGTTCACAACTCCCTTGTAAGAACTGGCGTCACAAAGACAACCCAGCACAATTTAGCACCACAGATAAGAAAGAGAATACGTGACCCCCTGGGTATAAAGATGAGTCCAGCAGCGCACTCACTCTGAGCGTCAATCTACCATCTACCTGCTGATCAGGTCAGGTAATTGCTTCCCGAGGTCCACCCGGGGACGCCCAGCCTTGTATTCGTCTTTCCTGGGGAATTCAGTGACAAGTCCTGGCCTGATACACTGGAATCGAGGGACGCAGAAGGGACTAAAATTGTACCTGTATGTGTCCTTTTGTTTTAGTTCATGCATAGAATAGAGCTCTTTAAAGATTAAGCTGTCACTTGGTACCGTTATTTTCTATCTTCCTTTTTCTGTTGTAATCATTTTAAGATCTGTATTTGCTAGCAGTTAAGAAGTAGAATAATAGCCATTGTAACCACATGCTTTATAAGCCTTTTTAATAAACCTGTAACTATTTAAGCTTTAACCTGTCTCCTCCTGTTGCTGTAACAGAACCAAACACAATTAAAAGAACTCCAGCTGGTCATAGGGGCAGACACAGGCAGAGCTGGGCGTTTGGGTTCTGTCTCCTCCACGGGACAGACCCTTGGGGCACCCATCAGCCTTCCCTAGGCCACCTGCTGCGAAGGGACCTTGCGTCCTAGCAGCTAAAGACTCAGGTGTAGTAAGCTCTCCCTGCAGACTCTTGGGGCACCAGTCAACCTCCAATAGGCTGCCCACTGCAAAGGGACCCTGTCCTAGCAATTGAAGACTCGGGTGTATAACACACACACATCACGCACTGCCCTGACCATCGGCTGACAGAATTGGCGTAGTCGGCAGGATTGTGTTATTGGTTCACATACAGCAACATGAAGCCAGTCACCATAAACATGGATTTTAGCTGTATAGAGAAAGAGTTTTCCTGAGAGGGATGGGGCAACCCTAAATGGGATAAGGAGATGTTAGGAAAAGATTGGGAACAACGACAGAAAATCTGGCAGCAATGTTGTAACTGGAGAGCTGCCTGGAAAAGGGAAAAGCACTTGCATTTGGCTGTTAAAGGGTGTGTGGCAAGCAGCCTGCACTAGCTACTGGAAGTTAGAAACAGAGCTGATAAGAGTTCAGGGAGAGAGAGAGAGACGAGCTGCGGAAACAATGCTGGAACCTAGATACTCCGATGCGAAGATTAACTAAGGACATGAAACTCCTGCAGGGACGGCTCCTCCCGATGTTAGAAAAGGAAGGAATTGCACGTAGAGAGAGATTAGAAGCTAAGCCACGAAGCATTAATGGAGCCAAAGTAGAAACTGCTCTGTGGCTAGATCCAGATGATTGGAACGGAGACATCTGGGATTCCTCTGACGATGATTTCGCTTCCTATTCGCCTATTTAAATATCCTGTTCTTCATTTGCATAAAAATGGCTACCATTTTTTGCCAATGCGGCACTTTGTCAGTAAAAAGCAGCAGTCTAGAGGGGGATCTGTTGAGAAAGAAGCCTTTTCTGACAGATCCCTTACGCCTCCTACAAGGAGGCAGGACCTGACCGGCTGTGCCAATGGGGAGCCAGGGCCAAGTGACAGCAGGGAGCTGCAGGGCCAAAGCTAGAACCGGGGAGTCCGGCCCTGCAGGACGTAACATAGCAGCCGAGCACAATGAGCAGCCAGGGAGAGCACAGTGGAGTGATGGGGCAGAGGGCCGAACCCAGGGAGAGGTCGCCAGACAACAGAACCATGGGGAGTGGACTCAAAAAGGGGCTGTGAATCTAATAAGAGGGAAGATAATGGGGAGAATGGTCCTGCCACCTCCACAGGCAGGGCCTGGGCAGGGATCTGTGAGGAACAGATGGTGAATCTTCCTCATATCAGATACAAAAGACAGCGGCTGGTGTTGGGCCCGTGCCCACGGAGTGGGGCTCCTTGAATCTTTCCCATTGGTTCTTGATTTTTTTCACCTTGCATGGGGGATGAACATAAAGCAGTGATTGGGGGAGGGGAGGAGACAGGCAGGGCTGGAGTGAGGTGACAACAAATTGTAGCTTCCTGAGGCAGGTGCTCAGCCAGGTTTCTCCTGCAGTAAAACACAGAAGCGTTTCCAGTTGGGCTGCACACGGGATGGGTCTAGTTTTGCACTGGAGCCTCACTGTCTGGCACACCGCTAGGGTTGCCAGGTGTCTGGTATTGAGCTGGAGAGTCTGGTATTTTCGCCTCCTGTCCAGTAAAAACATTCAGAAAATACCGGATACCTGTCCAATTTTTTTTTCCCTGCCAGGAGGTGAAAATACCGGACACCTGGCAACCCTAAGACACACTCAGTAACTGGGCCCAGGCCCCGGCCCCTGCCCCTGGACTCTCTGGTTACCTGGCGGGGGGGGAGGGAGCTCGATCAAGAAAACAAGATGGCCACCGGCAAAAAAACCTGAAGCAAGGAGAAGCAAGCCTTCCCTGAGCCTTAGTGCGCAACCTGTCTCCTCTCACACTTAAAAGGGCCATGCTGTTCTAATGCTGTTTTATTTTATTTATTTTATTTTAATTAATTTTTTTTTGTTTAATAACTTCCAGGGTCCTTTTTTTTTTCTCAGCAACAGAATTTTTCCCCCAGTGTTTTTTTTTTCTGGAGGACGGTGTTCGGTATTTTTGGTTAAACCATCTGGCAACCCTACACACCACGGAGTAAGGGCAAAGGGCCTGGAATCACACCGCCACTGGGGCAAGGCCTAAGGCCTGATCTACAGTCAGCAAAATTATGTGACAGTGACTTCTTGGAGGCCAATGGCCTTGATACGCCTGCATGGGCCGCATGCAGCAGTGGGCTGCTACAATCCATTGAACTGATCGTTGGTCCTGTATCATGTGGCAGCCTCCCCACCCATAGTGCCGAGGCAGGGCAGTGCCCACAGAACAGCCATCCAGGCTGAGCAGTGGGAAGGTCCAGTTTGCCCAGACAAGCTGAGTCCCTATTAGCATCCAATTACTTCTCTCCTGGAGGAGGTTCTCAAGCTGTAGGTCTCCAGGGTCTAATTTCTGCTCATCCCACTCACAGAGCTGCGGGAATTGTCTGGGAATCCCAGCCCACCTGGGACCCCACAGGGATTGGACAAGGGAATCATAAAGGGGACCGTTCAGCTTGCCGAGTGTCAGACAGGTGCGATTCACACGCTGAGTTTCTAATCTGTGTGTCACTGGCCCTGGAAGGAGATTTCCTCACTGCTGCATGGGATTGTGGTGAGTTGCTTCTTTGCATTAGCGTTTAATGCTAGCAACTGAGGAAGGGTTTCAGGGCTCAAAACTAGAAGCATCTGGGCAGGAATTAAACAGCATCGTAAAGTGAACATCATATAGTTGTGGTTTTTTTTAACAGGTGAAATTGTATTGAGAAAATGTTACATAATTATCTGTCTATAAATTTATTCCCTAATGTCTTACTGTGTCCTCTTGTCTCGGTGGCTTCCTGTTTTTGTGGGGTGGGATTTTTTAATTTCTCAATCTCACTACACAGGAGACAGAGCAGCCAAAGCCTTTGCGGGGGAGGGGGGTCTGTGTTACCAGGGGGTTCACCACACACATGGGTCACGTGCTGGTCACAATCTGCTCTCACATTCTGCCCTCGGTGCATCACTCCAGACTGACACTGGCTTCCCTGAGAGAAAATTTGCCAGATGTGTTTTAAAATCCCCCACGTTCACAGCCGGGCTGAGAATGCCCCAGTCGCTGGGTGTTTCCCTGCAAGACCGTAAAGCTGGGACATAGAGGGACAGGTGAGGCTGAGGGAGCAGGCAGGTTGTGTGTGTGTGGGAGGAGGGAGCTGTGGGGGTTGTGAGGGCAGGCAGTGGGGTGCACACAGAGCAGTGGGTGGTGCTGGGAGTTGTGGACATAGGAAGTGGGGTGTAAGTGTATGGGTAGGCAGAGCTGCTGAAATGCATTTTTATTTGTGATTGTTGGCACTTTGCCAGTGAAATGAACCCTTCATCTTTGCTCCTCGTGTGGCTTCATCCCCCACCATCCTACTCTGACCCCCTCTGTGCACCCTTTCCCCATCCCAGGCTGCCCTGATTCCAACAGCACCCTGGCCACCAGTGTCTTCTCCATGCTCCCCACAGCCTCCGAGCCCCCCATGCTCCACATGGCTGTTCCTCGGCAGGGGCAAGGTGCCTCCCGTCACAGAAGCTCCCTTGGCTGGGGCGTAATCAGTGACTGTGTCTCACTTGTCAGAAATCTTGCACAGGGAGGGGTAAATACCCTGGCACCTGTACTGCTGCTCTTGGTGCCCTCTTACACACTTCTGCCCCAGGACAGAGCCTGGCACAATCAGACCCCGGGATCTAAAAGTTCAACCGAGGATGTTCTGGACCATTGACTAGCCAGGACGGGATTTCAAGACCAGAAGTGACCTTGGTGATCACCTGTTTTACATGCTACATAGCACCAACCAGGCAATTTTCCTAGTCATATTCCTAGCATTGATCTTCTAGAGGGAGAAAAACACCAAACCCTACATTTAAAAATATTCAGAGATGAAGAATCTGCCAAAACTCTTGGTATACTGTTCTAGTGGTGAATGACTCTCTCTGGTTTTTTTAATGTATATTTCTATGCCTATTTTTAAAAATGCCCCTGTGTACATATTTCTAGACCAATATCAAGTCGCTCTTCAAGTACCTTTCTTAAATTCAACCAATCAAGCTCATTGAGTCTACGCTACAAAGCAGGTGTCCTAATCGTTTTGTGATTCTTCTCTTCAATGTTATCAACTTTGCTCTTTTATTGGGGATCCCAGACCTGGAGGCAGGATTCCAGCAGAAGTCGCACCAGTGCCACATGCTGAGGTAAAATAACATCTCTAGCTGACCTTGAGATTACCCTTGGGAGAATCCCATGGTCACTTGGCTCTTTTGGCTACAGGGTCATCCTGGGAGCTTGTGTTTAGCGAATTATCTCTTCATGCCCCCGAATCTTGCACAGTGTTACTGCTTCCAAGTGCAGTTACCTCTCATATAAGCACTACTAACGTTTTTGACCCTCGAAGTAACCAGTGGTGCAGGCCTGTAGCATTACATAGCAAGAGTCTGCTTCCCTCTTCACACCCATTATGCTGAGCAAAAAGGCACAGCCCAGCACAAAAATGATCATGGCAGAAACTTTAGACTTCCTCCTGTGGGGATTGCATCGTGCATCAGACCTACAGTCCATGTAACCCAGTGTCCTTCCTCTGGCAGGGACAGCTGCTGAGACTGCACCACAACACATAAGTACCTAGGAACGTGTGAGGGGATGAGTTGACTGACTGGAGAGTGTTACCCTGATTCTGAACAGCTAGAGATTCACTTGAGTCATGAAACATGCTGGTGTGTGGGCTCTCAAATTTATTCCTGTAACCGTTAATGTTGGGATTGGATAGTCTCTCTCTCTCTCTCCATGTAAAAATTGGAACACTTCCTGATTCTTGCTTAGCTCATGACCTTAACTACCTCCTATGGCAATTTGTTCCTGACCCTAATTGAAGAATGAGTGAAGAACGGGTATCTGTTTTGGTTGTATCATGTTTCTTTGAATGTGCCCTGGTCCGTGTCTTAGTAAACAGGAAGAACACACCCTCAATCTACTCTCTGACACTCAGTAATGTATGGTCTGCTCTTGTTTTTTCTCTTCCTCCTTTCCTTTGTGAATTAACAAAATCTCTCGACTTGCAATCATTTCCACCCCACTATCATTTCAACCCCACTATCAACCTCAGCTGGTTCCTGAAATTGCTTTGTAGGCATGTAGAAATATTCTCCAACAAGTTTCTGTGGGTGTGTGTAGACTACAGGGTTTCTTCAAAGAAAGTGGCCTTTTTTCAAAAAAAACCGTCACGGCTACGTCTACATTGGCCCCTATTGGCACTTGGGAATAGGCAAATCCGCGGGGGATTTAAATATCCCCCGCGGGATTTGCATTTTCATGGCTGTCGCTTTTTTCCAGCTTGTAGATAAGCCGGAGAAAAGCGCCAGTCTGGACGCGATACTCCGGAAAATAAACTCTTTTCCAGAGGATCTCTTATTCCCACTTGAATAAGGAGGAGTAAGTTCCACGAGGAGTAAAGGTAGTTTGGAATAGGAAGCCTAATCCGAACTACCTACTCCGTGCTGCGTGTAGCCGCGAGCACGGAGTCCGAACTAGCGGGGATTTAAAAATGGCGGCGCCCGGCAAGATGCAAATGAAGCCCGGGAAATTCAAATCTCGGGCTTCATTTGCTACTTCAGTTGCCTACATTAACCACCCTAGTTCGAACTAGGGTGGTAGTGTAGACATAACCCTAGTGACAGATGATGTGGGAAAAGCTGAAGTACTCAATGCTTTTTTTCCTTTGTCTTCACAGACAAGGTCAGCTCCCAGACAACTGCTCTAGGCAATGCAGTATGGAAAGGAGGTGGGTAGCCCTCGGTGGATGAAGAACATGTTAAGAAGTATTCAGAAAAGCTAGACACACACAAATCCATGGGGCTGGATTTAATGCACCAGAGGGTACTGAGTGAGTTGGCAAATGTCATTGCAGAGCCTTTGGCCATTATATTTGAAAACTTGTAGAGATTGTTAGAGGTCCTGGAGGATTGGAAAAAGACAAACAGAGTGCCCATCTTTAAAACTAGGAAGAAGGACGATTCAGGGAACTACAGACCAGCCTTACCTCTAGGTACCAGCCACGACACATGATACTTTGTCTAGTGCCAAGCCCTAGGATACAATTGAATCTGCTCCAATCCCTCAGACAGAGACAAATGCCTACAAGATCTTTACTAGTGGTAGAAATGTAGCCGTGTTAGTCTGGTGCAGCTGAAACAAAAATCAGGACTGTGTAGCACTTTAAAGACTAACAAGATGGTTTAATAGGTGATGAGCTTTCGTGGGCCAGACCCACTTCCTCAGATCAAATAGTGAAAGAAAATTGTCACAACCATATATACCAAAGGATACAGTTAAAAAAATGAACACGTATGAAAAGGACAAATCAAATTTCAGAACAGAAGGGGGGTGGAGAGGGGAAAGGTAAATGTCTGTGAGCTAATGATATTAGAGGTGATAATTGGGGAAGCTATCTTTGTAATGGGTAAGATAATTAGCGTCTTTACTCAAATTTGCATGTAGAGTGTCGAATTTAAGCATGAATGACAGTTCAGAGGATTCTCTTTGAAGTGCAGTCTTAAAAGGTCTTTGAAGTAGTATGCAGGTAATCAAGTCGTTGAGACAATGTCCTTTCTGGTTGAAGTGGCAAGAAACTGTTTTCTCTGAAGATCTTTACTAGGCATTCTTAAAACTTAAATACCCACCTGGGGAATGAGGAAACAGATTGACAGAGACAGTCGAATACCCTGAAGTCACCTACATCAAGACAGGCCCAACACAGAAAGAAACAGAACACAAGAGGTTATCCCCCCTGCGGAATGTATCTGTCTCAGTTGGGTCCCCACCTTGTACTCCTGGTGAAATGTGGTCTCTTGGGATTATGTTTACTGTTGCTCATGGATCCCATATGTTTGCTTAGATTCTGTCACGGCGAGCCCTGTGAGCAAGGTTTCCCAGAGTGGTGGGCCATCATGCCCAGGTCTCTATCCTGAATCTACTCCATTCAATTAGAGCATGTTTTTGACGGGTTCAAGCTTTTCCACCCAAAGGGCAGTCACATTGGAGCTGTGAATATAAAATTTCATCAGCCATCATGTTGCAGATTAACCTGTCTCGGTTAGCTCCTCTGAATTCTCCTGTGGATTCGAATTTGATCTATATCAATTTGACCTGTAAATGTTTCCACTACCCTATTTTCCTTCTTTTTAGATTGATCATGAGGATAAAATATTTAATGTCTATTTGTAAAAAAAAGTATAATACCCTCCTTTCACTGTGTGTTTGTCTCTTCACAGGCACCTTGTGCATTTTTCAGCCCTGCTGACACATTGAGTACCTGATGGCAGCTTTTAACCTCACCTCCTCTGATATGTCAACATTCATCCTAACAGGCATCCCTGGCCTGGAACATGCTCACGTCTGGATTTCCCTCCCGTTCGCTACTTGCTACATCATTGGACTGTTGGGAAATTTCTCCATTGTGTTTATTGTTGGCAAAGAGCAGACCCTACACCAGCCAGTGTACCTGCTGGTCTGCATGCTGGCGCTCACAGACATCGGCATGTCTACCTCCATCGTGCCAAAGGCCCTATGTATATTTTGGTTCAATTTGGACGTCATCACAGTGAGTGGCTGCTTCACCCAAATTACCTTTCTTAGCATGGTTTCTGCGATGCACTCAGCCGTCCTTGTGACAATGGCCTTTGATCGCTACGTGGCCATATGTAACCCTCTGAGATACACCACCATCCTAAGCAATGTACGGATAGCTACGCTAGGGATGGTCAGTTTAATAAGAGGGATTCTCTGTGCACTGCCTGTGCCCCTGATGCTGAGCCAGCTGCCGTTCTGCGGCAACCGCATTATCCCGCATACGTTCTGTGAGACTATGGCAGTGGCAAAGATTTAATGTGGGGACCTCACATTCTTCAGACTCTATGGCTTGGTTATGGGTATTGTTCTTACAGGGCTAGACCTGACGCTCATTGCCCTATCCTACTGTCTCATCATCAGGGTCATTCTTAGCATTTCGTCCAAGAAAGCCCACAAGAAAGCCCTCAACACCTGCACAGCTCACATCTGTGTGATGCTGACGGCTTATACTCCCTCTTTCTTCTCCAACCTGACACATCGGTTTGGTCAGGGCATCGCTCCCCACGTTCACATCATCTTGGCCAACGTCTATGTCCTTGCTCCCCCGCTGCTCAACCCCATCATCTATGGGATCAAAACCCAAGACATCGGTTTGGTCAGGGCATCGCTCCCCACGTTCACATCATCTTGGCCAATGTCTATGTCCTTGCCCCCCCGCTGCTCAACCCCATCATCTATGGGGTCAAAACCCAAAAGCTGCGTGAGAAAATGAAGAAAAACATCTGCAGAATGTGATCCCATTGGACCTCTGGATTGAAACCATGTCCCAAGAAGAGAACAGTTACCTCCGCATTAACCAAGTTTGCTCTGTCCCAGTTTGGCTGAGGTCAGCATTGTGGAAATTCACGGTCTCAGCAGCTCCTCACATCTAACTTCTTATCACTCCATCCCTAAGCACTGCTTTCTTCATTGCTGAATTCCCTCTCTCTGACCATGTCCTGGCCTGTTTCAGTGTCACCTGTCATTGCTCATCCCACAAACCCTGTCATTCAGCCTTTCTGTGACTTCCAGTCCACCAGAAAATACTGCAGCTTTCTGACACATGGTGATTTTCCATTAGTGCCTGAGTGAATAGGGATCTTTTTCAGTTTGAGAAACGGAAGCTACAATTTTAGATAATCAAAGACAAAGTGCTATGGTAGATGCTGATCTTCTTTACCATACGTGCAGTGATCAGGTGAGGAATTTGTATGTCCTTTTGTGATCAGTAACATAAGTGGGCTGAGATCTAATTTTTGCCTTTGTTCTGTGGACACCTATGACTGCTTGAGCAGCTAGGGAGAGTTTTGCCTTGGTTCACTGGCCTGAGGCCTACGGCAATTAATTTGAGCTGTTTAGGGTTGAAATTCATTAACACACAGTTGCCAGGGAGGACTAAGGCTTTTGTGAACGTGATCAGTTGCTCGCTTGTTGAAGTTGCTACTTTCAAGCAATGCTGAAGATGAAATGTTGTTTCCTCAGATCAATTTGACACAATCAAAACTGCAGAGCCAGATACAAGAGGAACTTTGGGAAAACCTTTTTCCTCTCCAGCCATGTCTGAGACAACACAGAATCTATTCTGCACAGCTCACAGCAATGACAGCGAGGATGGAATGTTGAATGATGAAACGGATGGAAACCCAAATACAGACAACGAGTCCTGTCACGGAATGCAGTTCAAGAACCTCTTTTTCTTTTCACTTTATTGCTAACATAGATGAGAACTTCCTGGGATTTATTGATTAAAAAAAATTGAATCTGAATTAGATGTGTAATTAAAGCTTTCTTTGGATCCTGGAGGTACAGACCACTGTGTTCATATGGAAATGCTTGTTTCAATATCTACTTTTATCTATCTTTAGCTTTCTGCGGAGTGGGCTCTGTGCTATTGGTGCAGTAGAAATCTCACAGCTTTACAAGTCAGGAAGGACACAGAGAAGCAGCAGCCAGAACTCCAGGGAACAGAAATGCAGCCCAGATAGCAGATCTGGTGCAGGACCTGACCAGCTGTGCCAATGGGGAGGCAGAGCCAAGCGACAGCAGGGAGCTGCGGGACCAGAACCAGGACAGTGGATGCCGGCCCTGCTGGAAGTAACATGGCAGCCGAGCACAATGAGCAGCCGGGGGGAGCAAGGTGGGGCCCTGGGCAGAGGGCCCAGCCTAGGGAGACGTCACCAGACAACAGGGACTTGAACGCTGGACTCTGAAGTGGAATGTGAATCTGACAGTAGGGCGGGCGCTGAGGAGAAGGGTCCTGCCACCTACAGCCTGAGGCGTGTATCATTTCCAGAGCAGGTGACTGACCTGCGCTATCATAGAATCATAGATCTGGAAGAGACCTCAGGAAGTCATCAGGTCCAGCCCCCTGCCTACGGCAGGGCCCATCCAAACTAAATCAACCCAGCCAGGGCTTTGTCAAGCTGAGACGTAACAACTTCTAGGGATGAAGATTCCACCCCCTCCCTGAATTGATGATATTAGAGGTGGGGAGAGTGGGACATCTGTGAGCTAATGGTATTAGAGGTGATAATTGGGGAAGCTATCTTGGTAATGGGTAAGATAGTTTGCGTATTTGTTCATTCCTTCCCGGAGAGTGTCGAATTTTAACATGAATGACAGTTCAGAGGATTCTCTTTCAAATGCAGATGTAAAAGGTCTTTGTAGCAGAATGCAGGTGATTCATTTCTGGAAAATCATGCCAGTGTAGACGTAGCCATGGTGATTTGCCATTAGTCCCTAAGTGAATAGGGATCTTTTTCAGTTTGAGAAACGGAAGCTACAATTTTAGATAATCAAAGACAAAGTGCTATGGTAGATGCTGATCTTCTTTACCATACGTGCAATGATCAGGTGAGGAATTTGTATGTCCTTTTGTGATCAGTAACATAAATGGGCTGAGATCTCATTTTTGCCATTGTTCTGTGAACACCTATGACTGCTTGAGCAGCAAGGGAGAGTTTTGCCTTGGTTCACTGGCCTGAGGCCCACGTCAATTAATTTGAGCTGTTTAGGGTCAAAATTCATTAACACACAGTTGCCGGTGAGGACTAAGCCTTTTGTGAACGTGGTCAGTTGCTCGCTTGTTGAAGTTGCTGCTTTCAAGCAATGCTGAAGATGAAATGTTGTTTCCTCAGATCAATTTGACACAATCAAAACTGCAGAGCCAGATACAAGAGGACTTTGGGAAAACCTTCTTCCTCTCCAGCCATGTCTGAGACAACACAGCATCTATTCTGCACAGCTCACAGCAATGAAAGAAATGGGTCCAGTTGATCTGTTCGTACAGTAGCAGAACTCCTGAGAAAGACAGTGAGGATGGAATGTTGAATGATGAAATGGATGGAAACCCAAATACAGGCGAGTCCTGTCTGGAATGCAGTTCGAGAATCTCTTTTTCTTTTCACTTTATTGCTAAAGTAGATGAGAACTTCCTGGGATTTATCGATTAAAAACAATTGAATCTGAATTAGATGTGTAATTAAAGCTTTCTTTGGATCCTGGAGGTACAGATCACTGTGTTCATGTTGAAATGTTTGTTTCAATATCTACTTGTATCTCCCTTTAGCTTTGTGCGTAGTGGGCTCTGTGCTATTGGTGCAGTAGAAATCTCACGGCTTTACAAGTCAGGAAGGACACAGAGGAGCAGCAGCCAGAACTCCAGGGAACAGAGCTGCAGCCCAATAGAAGAGCTGGTGCAGGACTTGACCAGCTGGGCCAATGGAGAGGCAGAGCTAAGCAACAGCAGGGAGCTGCGGGACCAGAGCCAGGACAGTGGATGCCGGCCCTGCTGGAAGTAACATGGCAGCCGAGCACAATGAGCAGCTGGGGACAGCAAGGTGGGGCCCTGGGCAGAGGGCCCAGCCTAGAGAGATGTCACCAGATAGCAGGGACTTGAACGCTGGAGTCCGAAGTGGGATGTGAATCTGACAGGAGGGCAGGTGCTAAGGAGAAGGGTCCTGCCACCTACAGCCTCAGGTGTGTATCATTTCCAGAGTAGGTGTCGCTGAGGAGAAGGGTCCTGCCACCTACAGCCTGAGGCGTGTATCATTTCCAGAGCAGGTGACTGACCTGCGCTATCATAGTCAGGCCCAGCCCCCTGCCTACGGCAGGGCCCATCCAAACTAAATCAACCCAGCCAGGGCTTTGTCAAGCTGAGACGTAACAACTTCTAGGGATGAAGATTCCACCCCCTCCCTAGGGAACCCAGCCCAGTGCTTCCCCACCCTCCTAGGGAAATAGTTTTTCCTAATATCCAACCTAGACGTTCCCCACTGCAACTTGAGACCATTGCTCCTTGTTCTGCCACCCCTGAGAACAGCCTCTCTCCATCCCATTTGGAACCTCCCTTCAGGAAGTTGAAGGCTGTTCTCAAATCCCCCCTCTCTCTTCTCTACTGCAGACTAAACAAGCCCAAATCCCTTAGCTCTCCTCATAGCTCAAGTCTCCTAATCATTTTGGTATCAGCACAGCCAGGGCCTGGGCAGGGGGCCTGGGATGTGTGAGGAACATGTTGTGACTTTTCCTCAGACCCCACAAACACCTCCCTGGGGAGGGGCCCTGTGC